TTCATACCTGGTTCCTCCCTTGACACATGGGGATTATAGGGATTACAATTCAAAATGAGATTTGGGTGGGGAAACAGAATCAAACCATATAAAGTGCTAAAGAATATTACTAATAAACTCTTACCACTATTCTTTCCCTGACTATCCTCAGTAGGGACTCCGAAACAATTTGGACACTATAGCAAGAAATGGTTTATAAGTAAAAGTTATGAATGAACAAAATTAAAATATTCATGTTAATGTTACCATATTTATACGCAAGGGCCCAGAGACTTGGGTGAATTGAGGTTCTATTCAAACATATAATTTTTTATTTCTACATAAAATTTCATTTTTTGGATGTTCTATAATGTGTTAGATTGTTTTTTTTTTGGGAATTTTAGTTGTTTTTAAATTTCTGCATTTTGGTTTGAAAAATATCTTTAAATATGAGTTTTTATTAAAATCTATTATTATTTCTTAAAAATTTAATTCTACTTGAATAGAATAAATGACTTGAAGGATGTATACATTGACAATTGCCCACCTAAGAGATTTTTAACAATTTATACCCAAATGTTAAGAGAAACTGTATACAATAGTAATTGACAATTTTAAACTATAAAAATTGTAATTTCATAAATATGTGTGTAAAAAATTTGCTTTTCATTGCATTCTTACCAATCTCTATCATTTTTAAAACATAAAAGTGGTATTTCATTGCCTTTTCATTCATTTATTTACTTTTATAATTCATTTATTCATCAATCCAGAGTGTGTCCTTACTATGTTCAAACCAGTATGACAGGCATAAGAATATAAAGGGGACTAAGAACATTAAGCCTGCTGTTATGCTACATACAAGTCTCTTACAGCAAATTATCAAGCAAATATTCTTAAACAGAAACATAAAATTTATATTTCATAAATAAATATAAATATGAAAATGCTATGACTGGCATGTGCTATGAGAATCTATAAGGAAACAGCTAATTTATATTGGGAGGATTTATATGGAAGGTGTCTCTGTAAAAGTGAAATTTTAACTGTTATCTAAAAGAGTACATTTAACTGATGAGGAATTGGAAGAAAAGAATTTGAGGGAGAAGTAAAACTGTGGATTCAAAGACTTTTTGGCAAAAAGATAATATCATACATTTATGAACTTGAAAGAGGATCTGAGTGGTTGAAACAGAGATTAGGCCAGTTGAATTATCTAGTGAAATTGTACTGGATTAAAATATTATTCTTCTCACAAGTGCAATAGAAACATTGTAGGATTTTAAATAGGGGTGTGTAAAATATTTTCTCATGTATGTTTTGAAAACATGTTTCTGTGCTGCAATATCAATACATTAGGGTAGGTTAAGCCTGGATATGGGGAGACTAATTAGGCTATTTTACAGAGCAGAAAATATATGAGGGTGACTTGGATCACCTCATCCAAGCAGGGGTAAAGGCAGAAAAAATGTAATAGATTTGTGAGTTGTTTGAACAATTGGATGGATGCTTGCAGTATTTATTGAAACACCGACAGAGGAAAATATCTGAAGGTAAAATGATGAGTTTTGTGGAATTCAAAGGGCCTTTCAGACATCCAAGTAAAAATGTCAAGGAAGTAATTGAGTATACATGACCACACATCAAAGAAGGGTTACAATGGAATTTTACCTTTGTGAATTATTTGCTTCTTTGAGTTTTAAGCCAAATACATGTATTATATATTAAAAAATTAAACTAAATTTTATAGAATAAAACAATTCTTTAAATCATGATGTCAATTTGTCAAATAAATGTTTAATAACAGCATGTTAATTTAAATGATATAATAATATTATGTTTTAATAATTACAGAAAATATCTTTCTCTCTCCTTCTCGCCTTCTCTTTATATAATGTACTATACATGAGTGCATAGAGAGAGAAAGAAAGTACATATAAAATAAAAAACCAGGGGAGCATCATAATGTGGATGGGAGGGTCACACGTTGGTGATATTTGGGGGGTAGGATAACTATGCGTAAAAGTTAAATTTAACTTTCATATATATATATATATATATATATATATATATATATATATATATAACTGTGAATATGTGGCTCTTACAATGAATAAGAAAAAATATGTTTAAGTAGAAGACTGGGAAGGAAGATGAATCAGGATCAGTGATGGGGGACTGGGATAAAATTGATTCTAAGATCTTTTCCATATATTGCAACTTTGAGTTACCTGCTTCTCAAACTATCTCTAAAGTTCGAGTGAGAAAAAAAAAAAGATACTTCAGTAGAAAATAAGCTTTATCCTTTCTTGCAGTTTTATCTTTGTATCAAACCAGATCTCTGAAAACTTTGCTCAGATACCTGTTTGGTACCTGAAAATGCCATTTACTGAGTTCTGCTTTGGTACCATGCCTTTGGGCCACTTGGTGAAATTCTAAATAAAAATCCATAGGAAACCTGCTTTTGCATTTATGACAGTGTGCTTGAAGATATTTTCTTCTTTTTACTCATACAAATAATTCCTTGAAACTTAAGTATCAGAAATTATTTAGCACTTAAGGAGTGTGTATGTACTGTCTTTACAGATAGTATAAACCATATTACTAATTTTATTTCCTTTATTATGTGATTATCAAGAAACTCAGAGACATATTTGAAGTTTAACTTTTATAAGAAATTAAGACTCTTTGACCAGAATGTCTACTTTACATGTTTACTTTGGCATGGCTTCATGTATATAATAACTTGGTCTTGTTTCATATTTATATGTTTTTCTGCAATCTTATTTTTTTATTCATTTATAGTTGTCTGTTCATTGTATGGATTCTTACGTGTCTATAATCCAGAAGAAAACCAATTAGACAGAAAAAAGTGAGAGCTCTTTAATCAAAGTGATAAAGTCATTGTTCTGGATGAGATTGCTTGGGGACAGAAAATAAGAAGAAAAACAGTCCCAGAATTTAGCATAAGGAACTTCTGCATTTAATCATTATGTACAGACAGAGATTCAGAAATATAGCCATGAAAGAGAGGCAGAGGAGGAAGGATATCAGAAAACCTAGAAGCCAAGAGGTGAGACTTCCAGGCAGTAGCCACCTGTGAGGAATATTGTTCACGGGTCAAAGAAGTCAAGGACTGAAATGTCCACTGGATTTCTCAGTGATGCTCTTTGGATGATGCTGGGAAAAGTAATCAGATTTGAGTGGTTCAAAGAACAAATAGCACTTAAGGAAATGAAAATGAGTATGCTTCAGATTTTATAGCATATTGTATACTCTAAATTTTTAAACAGTATTAATGATTAATGTTTTCCATAAAGAAATAGTAAAGATTAATAATATTCATTAATTCAAACCAGTGACTGTAATAAGATAGCACTAAATGATTATTTAAAATAACTCCAAGACAATCTCATCAATGTTGACAGGAAGAAATTAAAAAGAGAAAAAAATAACTTTTCCCCCTTTATAACTGAAATACAGATTTCACACACACTAAAATTTTCTTCAAAGTTCATATTGCATCATTAATCTTTCAAGAAGATTGTAAGAATTTTATAACATTATATGCTAATACCTCTTGCCTTAATCAAAACATCAAAATACATATACTATAAGAAATAAAAAGAAAAAAAGGTAGCAAAACAAACTAGGAAGCTGCTCAAGCAAAAAGAACATTTACTTCTATCTTGGTGTAGTAAGATTAGAGGCAATTTCACTTGTTTCCCAACTGGAGTCTAATTTTTTCATCATTTGCACTCCTATACATAGTAGAAATGAAGGGGTGCATATGCGTGGATAATCAGAGATAAAGGAGAAAGGGAAGATGACAATTTTAGAGGCTTTTTAAAAAGTGTGATTTTGTGTTTATTTATCCTAGTTAGTGGCTAGTAACCTCTCCTCCTTCAATTTAATCCTTTGGGCACATGAAAATATTTTCTAGAGATATATGTTACTAATACCTCAGTGCTCAGTATTTCAAAATAGTAAACACAGAAGATGAATTTATGGAAATAACCTGGTTTTTTCTTATCTTTTAAATCATAATGACAGCTGAAATGTCATAAGAATTAGTATTTATCCCCATTTTATTTTTAGATGGGTTTGTTAATGTCTAAAAATGATCTTTTCGTGAATAAGAACTTAGAGACTTCCAGATAAAGTGACATCACCCTCATGTATTCCCCATGCAACTGCCTATCACAAAGCTAAGACTAAAATCAACTGTTGTGGTTCGTTTTCACCATAATGTTAAATTAAAGTGCAGCCAGCTTTCAATAACAGGTAGGGATTCACCATTGTATTTCCACAAACATCTGTACTTTATAATGTTCAATATGAGAAGGCAAATGCACACAAAGTTTTAAAAAATTTGGTTACACACTTCCAGGGTTTACTCAGTTCATAGCCTCTGCAGATTACTGAAAATTAAATCCAATCTGAGATGTGGTGGGAAATGCTAGTTTACAGCAGCCTTTTGGAGAGTGTGTGTGGCCTTTGCTAGTTCCTCCGTGAGTGGGAGGCCAAACCAATGTTCGCCTTGGGGCAAGTCTATGGAATAGGGAGGGATGAAGAGGGGAGGGTGAAGGGGGACTCATTTACCACTTCTCTGCCAGAATAGTGACTGACAGAAGGAAGGCCAAAAAGTACACTTTACGGATGACAAATTTTGTTCAAAAGTCATTTGGGAAAGTTTGCTAGTACTTAAACGTTTCTAGGTAAGTTTGCCCTACTTGGAATGTCAGTTTCACATGTCCCTCATTGGCCTTCTTCAGTCCCTCTAGATATCCTTAATATGGCTCAGTGATTTAAGGCTTGAGTGTTGGAGGCCAAGGAAGCAGAAATTTGTTCAGCCACTGGAGGGCTACAAATGGGTTAGTGTCCTCCTTTCAGCAAAAATTCTTAAGTCTCTTTACTTTTGTAGACCCCGTTACCTCACCGTTGCCTTTGTAATCTTATCCCACCGCCCAGCTCTTTTCTTTCCCTTCTCCCTCTTTCCTCCCTCTCTGTCCTCTCCTCACCTGTCCACCGCAATGGCAGTCATGGAGTAGATGCTGGCGAACACAGCTGTGATAGGAAAGAAGTTCTGGAAGCGGCAGTAGTTGGCGCCGAAGTACCACTCGCTATGAAGCGCGTAGATGAAATTGACCAACGTGTTGAAGGCGGCCATGGAGGCATCGGAGAAAGCCAGGTTCACAAGGAAGTAGTTGGTGACAGTCCTCATGCGCTTGTGGGCCAGGATGATCCAGATGACGATGAGATTTCCAAAAACGGCCACTGCCACCACCACCCCATACGCCAGGGACCAGAGCGCGATGCGCCAGGACGGCTGCACGAACTGGTTGGTGAGGTTGGCCTGGGGCTGGGAGGGCGCGGGGGAAGCCAGCACGGAGTTGGAGGAGGAGAGGTTGCCAGCTTGGACCAGCAGTTGCAGCCACCCAGTCTCAACTGCCCTCCTGGCCGCCCCGGCAGCTAGCGAGGCAGTCAGGTTCCCGGCGTCCGCACCCACGCCTCCACCGCCGTCTGTCCAGGTTTCTGCTGCTGGGAGAGTGGTCATCGCCACCAGTCTGCAGTCCCGGACCTTCCCACTCACTCACCCATGGGCAGCCCAGGACCAGACTCCTCTGAAGTTCTCTGCCTCCTGGTCACTTTGGTGCCAGGTCTTCAGACACGCCTGGAAGTGGAAAGATAAGGTACTGCAATCCCTGCTGGTTAGGGGGATGCAGCAGGTGATAAGGAGAAAGAACCGCACTTTCTCCGAGGGGATTGCCGCTATGGCAGGCAGAAAGAACGAGATCCTCGAAAGATTAAGGGTGGTCTCGTCCCACCACAGCAAAAGCCCGAGCCGCCCTGCACAGGCTGGAGAACTGAGCATCCTGCGCTGCAGGCAAGCTTTTTACTCTCACCGAGTCCCACGCCTCGATGACGTTGCGGGGCGCGGAGCTGACCATCCCCTTCGCTGGCTGTGATTGCACTCCCTCTCTCCATCCCCGCCTTTCGCATTTCATTCACTCGCTACTCGTCACCAAGCAGCTGGAGCTTGGCAGGCTGACCTGCCCAAGGGAGCGCTGCACTCCCTCAGCTGTAATTAACATCTTTCCAAGATTGTTTTGCCTTCTTTTAAGATATTTTGCTGAGGTCCCTGTTCTCAAACATGTATTGAGGGCTGTTATTTCTTGCTCAATTTAAACCATTTACCCACGAGGCAAGGGCAAGATCCTAGTTGATTTTTCGGAGAGTGTGCATGAGTGTACAAATGCAAACGCAAACGTTTTTAGGCGTCCCTGGATTTTGAATTTCATTCAGCCTTCTGCTCTGGTGTTCATATTCTCTAGTCTCAGATCCCTTTTCCTCTCGCTCCCACTTTCCACATCCACCCGTTTTCCCTCTTCCTGTATTTCTATCACTAGAAATGGGTCCCTCTGACCTCATTACCAGCAGCAGATGGAGGCTGTGGTTTCTCCTGGAGGATTTTGCTCATGTTAGAACGTCATGGCACATGGAGAGTAAATCGCAAATCCCAAGGTGTACATTTTCTTGAACAGATCTCTACATTTCCCTGGGTTGAACATATCCAATATGCACTGTGAATACACGCTCTTGGTTACAGGGTTCTGGACATATGGTGCCTTAGTTTTCAGGGCTTGACCATGAGGACACACTGATGCGAACACCGTATATGAACAAATACTTGGGTTTCCCGAGAAGACGGGCAGGACCCGATTTCTGAACTTTGCCTGAGAGTAGTGAGCTAAAGCGCTCGGTGGAGTACATGCTGGAATGACATAGTCTGTGCTTAGACCAATCTCAGGAAATTTATAGAGCTGAAACTCCTTTATTTGCATCCTGGGGGCATATGTATAAATTTAGATTTAAGCATATATTTAGCTGCCTACTGGTTATACTTGAACTGTTTGAACCTCTGTTTCATCACTTAAAAATGATTTTTTAAAAGGAATTAAATTTACAGTATAATTACAGGATAGTTTCTACAGACTTCCCTTAACAACAGCAGGCAGGAGGAAACATCCTTCCCTCTAGTTATCATTGTGTATTACATCTAAACATGTTTAGGTGAAATGGATCTGATCAACAAGTTTTATCAAGAGAAGGCAATTTGTGATTTGTACACATTCTGTTTTTTTTTTTTTTTTTTCCTTTTTTCTCTAGAAACCTTTTGGTTCTGTCACCCAAGCTGGAATGCAGTGGTGCAATCATAGTTCACTGCAGCCTTCGACTCCTTGCTCAAGTGCTCCTTCCCCTCCTCAGCTTCCTAAGTAGCTAGGACTACAGGTATGTGCCACCAGTGCCACCACACCCAGCTAATTAAAAAAATATTTTTGTTGCCATACTGTCTTGCTATGTTGCCCAGCCTGTCTCCAAATCCTGGCCTCAAGCAATCCTCCCAGTTTGACCTCCCAAAGGGCTGAACCTTCAAAAATGTTGAGATTACAGGCATGAGCCACTGTGCCTGGCTTTTCTGCATTCTTTAGTTTTCCAGTTTAAAATATATTCTTCAAAGAACCTGCTGTGATTATGGGGTAAATGGACTTCAGGTGCCTAGTGATGAATAGTGCTTTCCTTCTTACGGTTATTATGACTAAATGGCTAGTGCATAAAAATAATTTTAAGCAACCTGATAGTTATTAACACAGCCTTGATACAACACTGCTTCAAAATAAATGCATGCTGAACATGATAATTATCGAATGTTATTTTCCTTTTCTTCTGAGAGGCCTGTGAAAATATGTGATAAATCATAGGCAAAGTTAATAAAGATTCACATTTTCTGCTTGGAATTCCAATGGTTTAACCATTTTCTTTTGAAAGATTGCTTCTTTCTTCTAATTCACCAACTAGAAATTACTTGAGTTACAAATAAAACCTCTTCCTTTCCCAATGCAATTAAAAAGACATTAAAAATATATCTTTGTATGACACACCTGCTTCCTCAAGATTATAAAATAGGTTATGTGGTGGTTTGGTAATTAAGCATGTTTTGATCAAATTTTTAAAGTTGAAAATTACTTCATTATATAGAAATACAGTTATTTTATTGTTGTTTTTCTTATAATATTTACAAAGAATATTTTAATTTTTTCAGTTTTGACTTCATTGGGCTTAATACAAAAGTAGAGGGAGTATGTCAAGAAAAATAAGGATAATTATGTAATTAGAAATAGAGGTAATGAAAGAAGTTTAAAAGTTTATTCCTTTCAGAGGAAGGGAGGGATTCAGGGCATGGCTTTCCTTCTCAATGTACCTTACCTACTGAGAGTTTCCCTTGATCCCAAGAGGTATCAGTGATAATTCATTGTGTATCATTTCTTAAATATGTGTTCATATACTTCTTTCCAGGTGCTATGCCAGGTACTGGGAGTGTAGCAATGAAGCAGTTATGTATGAATTCTATTCTCATGAAGCCTAGAGTCTAGCAGTATTTTTTAACATTAAAGCAAGTACAGAAATAGAAATAGGAAGGTACAGAGAAAAATGGGAGTGTTAAACTGCATAAGGCAATGTGGTGCCCACTGGATTCTGGATTCTGCCAACTTCTCCTATAAATGTTTGAGATGATGGACATGCTAATTACCCTTATCCGATCACTATACATTGTACATATCAAAATATGTACCCCATGAATATGTAAACTTGTTTGTTAATAAAAATAAAATTTTGAAAATATTTTAAATAAATAAAAAGTAAAAGTATGATCATCCCCAGTATCCAATTAAAAAAAATTTGTGTGTGAGGATGAAATGAATTTTCAAAAAGAAAGACTTAGCAAAAGTGTATGCCTTAAAGAATGAGAAGGTTTAGGAGTTCATACCTGAAGTTGAGATTTTCTGACAAAGACAATTTAGTGGAATATCTGCTTGTTGTAGCCCCAGATTCTGGATCCTGCTCTTATCTGAGCCTATTCAGTTGATTTCCTAATTCTTCCTTATGCTTTTTCCCTTACTATAATATCTCCGAAAATCAGCCTTGGAGTACTCAGGGAAGGAACAGAGAGAGCAAAAGAAATGGTAGAACATGAGAAGATGATGCACAGGGTAGGATCCTAGATTCTGGTATTTAAAACTTGGAAGTGTGTATGAGCATGCACTTATGCAAATGTATGAGGACATATGAGTCAAGCACAATAGACACCTTGAGAGAAGGTGTTTACAGTTTTTAGATAACAGCAAACTAAATTGGTTTGACTACATAATACAAATTATGATCATTTGTATCCTTACTGTCACTATTCTTAATGCTAACTATTGCTTACTGTTTATTCCTAATGACCAAAAAGTTTGTCTATTTTATTATGAACTATAATATTTAGAAAAATATATTTCTTCTAAATGGTATTTCCTCTCCATATTTTGTTTAGAATACCTACTGGCAATATCCCCAATTATATGCTAAAAATTATAAAGAAAATGGATACTTTTCTTCTGTTGATTATTTTTTTCTCTCTCTTAAGACTCCAGGGCACTTAGTGCAGTATACTTCATACTTGAATTTTTATTATAACAGGCCTCCCAAAAATAAGTGTAATAGGGTAAAATTTGAGGTTGTTTTGCTGGCTAGTGGAGGAGGTATTTTTGGGAAGAAGAGCTTGTCAAAATTCCAGATTTCTGTCTCTGACAACAATCTTCTACTTGACAGTTCTCTCACACTTTTAGTGTTAGTATGGTCATTGTTTCCTACCATGTTGAGATATTTTTTTCTTCCTTACCAATTTCAGATCATCACAGCCTAGCCCTTTTACGCTTGCATTATACTTCTTTCCTTTGTTATTTCATTAATGTAGTTTTGCAGCTTTATTCCGTCTGTTCCACTCTGTGAGTTTTGAAGTCTTACAATCAAGCTACTGAGCATTGCTGACAATCAGTCAAGGCACCTCCACTTAATTATGCTGACAGGTCCTCCTTAAAAATTCTTGTACTTCACCAGACACCCTCTCCATGTGGAGTTTAAATCATTTCCTGTTTCCAAGATCATCAAGTCTTCAAATCTCTTTCTTATACACTTTCCTTCTCATACTAAAAAAACGATACTGTATCCAGTTGATCTGCAAAATTAAAAATTGTCAGCCAAGAATTTCGACATTGCTGTGGATTTTACCCATCTTTTCATTGTTTATTATCTCAATTACAGTGGTTTTCCCCATCCTAAACCCCATTCTTTGATCTGTACGATGTGTTCTTTCAATCATTCATCTTTTTTCCTCTCTTCAACATCTCATTCTTCCCCCCCTTTTTAGTAATGAAACATATCTAAGAATCTACATTAAAATACCCTTTCTTGACCACATCCCTTATAATTACCACTTTTATCTCTTCTTTCATTCCTAGGTGAGCTGCTTTAACAACATATCTAAACTCAATATTTTCCCTGCTTTACTCAAAATGTAATTTTTAAGTATTAAATGTTATATTCTTCAGTCAATGTACTCTCCTACCAATTACCTGCATGCTAAACCAAATTGTCATTTCCCTTCCTTAACTTTCTTGACCTTTCTGTAGCAGTATAATTTGACATGTGCATTACTTTCGCAGATCTATCATAACAAAGTACCACAAACCAAGTGGTTTAAAACAACAGAAATTTGTTTTTCACCATTTGTGAGACTAGAACTCTGAAATCGAGTCATGGGCAAGGTTAGTCCTTCTGGAGTCTCTGAGGGAGAATATGTTCTATTCCCTTCTCCTGGCTTTTGGCAAACTCTGGCGTTCCCTAGTTTATAGATGCAACACTCCAATCTCTACCTCTGTTATTATGTGGTATTTTCCCTGTGTTCTTCATTTTATCATTCCTATATGTTTCTCAGTGTGTACATTTCTTCTTTTCATAA